GATTATCCCCGCCCTTAACACTCACAGCTGAATGTGTACCACTGGATAATTGTAAAGAGCAACACAGTCAGTTTTGGGAGGGAAAATTTATTTCTGGGAGGTTTATTTTCCAACCAGGCCATGGTTTATAACAGCTACAACAAGCAATAAATAAATTTATCACAGCATCTCAAAAAGAGTCAGGAAAAGAAAGGAAACACAGGAGAAGAAAAAGCACAGGAAGCACAAGAGGATCCAGTTCCAGTGAGTGACTTGTTCTCGACTTCAAATCACCCCAATCTAACCCAGTAACTCTTCTAGGCTGAATTAAAAGATAAAACCCTAATCTCACCTGCTTTACAGATATTTGATATTCCCATGAAATACTTCTGAGTGCCTTTGATGCAATTAATTCTTCCCCAAACCTTCAGGCCTCTTACACATCTTCTGCTTTTCATCTGCAGCCTCTTCATCCCCACCCCCCTCTTTGCCTGCCAAGACTTCCCTGGCTTTTCCTATCTTTAGTCCTTTAGTCAAAAAATAGTAATAAAAAAAATTGAGAGACAGAATATACCAAGCTGACTTCTGGCAGATCCATCTACACACTCCAGACTCAACTATTCCGACTGAAATGGAAGCTCTAAAGATAACAGAGACTAAGAATGTCGGAAGATGTTGGGTTTTTATTCATTCTCCATTTCCTGAGGCTCCCATATCCAACACCAGAAATCCTGACCATAAAACAATGTTCTTCCCATTTTCCTCGAGGCTTCTCACAGGATTTATCCCACATCCAAAGGGGATCTAAACCTCGCTCCCTTTCTGGACACTGCATTTGCTGACATCACACAAGATGCTTTGATTTACCACTTCAGAGCACATTGTAACCTCTTAACTGATTTTGAGCTGACATCTCATGGAGAAATGGGCTCCCAGGCATCAATTTGAACAGCAGGGCATAGATTTATTAATAGAAATATATTTTAAAAGCAAATAAATGCTATCACATACCTGGTAAGTATTGTCAAAACTGTCATACATAAACCTGGTGATCAGGGAGGTCTTCCCAACTACAAGAGAAGAGAAAAATTACTTTCAAGCAGCAGTGGGGAAAAAAAAAATATCACTGCTTTGGGAGTGGCACTGATCTGACAGCAGCTGCCAGTCTCAGGCCATTCCAGCTACACCTTCCTGGGAAACAGCCAGCTGGAAAATTCAGTCCCAAAATTACAGAGGCAGATCAATCTCTGCAGGTCCAAACTTAATCACGGAGATAACCTGGCCCTCAGATCAGGTGTGCTGATAACAAAGAACCAGCTGTTTGCTTTGGGCAAGCAATAAATCTGCTTTGTTACCCTGTTCTGCTCCTTATGTAATCCCCAAGTCTGGGACACAAACATCAAAACAAAGCAGGTGATATCCCAGATGCTGTTCTGCTGCCTCTGGCTGCGTGGAAAAGCAATATTCCACACTCCCATCCTTCCTCCATAACAAGATTTGAGATACAGAGCAAACTCTGGTGCTTTGCTTCAAAACTTTAAATTTACATCTCCAAATATCATCACGAGACAAAGTGCAGAACTGACAAGAAGTGAAAAACAAAGATAAAGCTGCAATTCTGGCAGAGGAAGCTGAGAAAAATTCAGAGGACACAGACAGAAGACAAAAGAGGAATAAATTGCCTAAAAAGGTTGTGAAATTAGGAATGTTAGGGAGGGTTAAAAACACATTAGACAAATGCCTATCAGCTGCAATGTCAATACTCCATTGGAAAGGTTGGGAAATTAGAAAACTTCCGGAAATCCCTCCAAGACCTCTAGTTCCAAGCTCGAGGAGAAGGTGATGAGTAACCAACCCCACGATGGTTTAGGTTGGAAAAGGACGTTAAAGCTGATCCAGTTCCACCCCGGTCGCGGGCAGGGGACACCTTCCACCGTCCAGCTGGAACGGGCCTCGGCCACTGCCAGCGAGCAACCACCAGGATTCCCAGGAAAACACACAACTCATCCCCCTATTCCCAGGGAAGGGGCACAAAAGGGAGGTAAAACAAAACCCCCGCGGCTGCGAGGGAGGGATGCCGCGGCCAGGGGGGCAGCGCAGCCCCGGGGCCGCCTCCCCGCACGGGCTGCGGGCGCACTGCGGACCGGGAGGGCGGAACGGAGCCCCGGGCGGCGGGAAGGGAAGGGCCGGGAAGGGAAGGGCCGGGAAGGGAAAAGCCGGGAAGGGAAGGGCCGGGAAGGGAAAAGCCGGGAAGGGAAAAGCCGGGAAGGGAAGGGCCGGGAAGGGAAGGGCCGGGAAGGGAAAAGCCGGGAAGGGAAGGGCCGGGAAGGGAAAAGCTGGGAAGGGAAGGGCCGGGAACAGAGCCCCGGGCGGCGGGAAGGGAAGGGCCGGGAAGGGAAAGGCCGGGAAGGGAAAGGCCGGGAAGGGAAAAGCCGGGAAGGGAAAAGCCGGGAAGGGAAGGGCCGGGAAGGGAAAAGCTGGGAAGGGAAGGGCCGGGAACGGAGCCCCGGGCGACGGGAAGGGAAGGGCCGGGAAGGGAAAGGCCGGGAAGGGAAGGGCCGGGAAGGGAAGGGCCGGGAACGGAGCCCCGGGCGGCGGGAAGGGAAGGGCCGGGAAGGGAAGGGCCGGGAAGGGAAAGGCCGGGAAGGGAAGGGCCGGGAACGGAGCCCCGGAGCCCTCGGGCCGGGCCGCCCCTCCCCGCACCGCATCCCCGGGCCCGGGCACGGCGCGGCCTCGGCCCCGGGCGCTGCCCCCGCCCCTCACGGCCCCGCCCGGCCCCGCCCGGTGCTCACCGCTCTGCTCGCCCAGGAAGACGAGCTTGAACTTCCTGAGCGGGTTGCCGAAGTCGCCGCCGCTGCCGGGCGCGGACATGGCGGCGCGGGGGGGCCGAGCGGGAGCCGTGATGGGGACAAGGAGACAGCGCCGAGCGGCCCGGCACCACCGCCCCGCGCGTCACCTCCGCCGCGTCACCGCCGGCCCGCCCCGCGGGAGGAGGGCCGCGGCGGGGCCGGGCCGGGCCGCCGGGCAGCGCGGTCGCCACGGCGACGGGAGCGGGGTGCCGCGGGGATGGGCAGGGCGGTTGCCGCGGCGACCGCGCGGCCGCCCGGGAGAGGATGGTGCGGGTTGTAGCGGGATGGGCCCGGGTTGTGGCGGGGGTGGAGCCGGCTGTGGCGGGGGTGGTTGTAGCAGAATGGGTCTGGCTGTACCGGGGGTGGTTGTAGCGGGACTGGACTGTAGGATACATCCTGCGGCTGTAGCAGGATTCAGGGTCTGGCTGTACTGGGATTGGACTCTAGGATACATCCTGTGGCTGTAGCAGGATTCAGGGTCTGGCTGTACTGGGATTGGACTCTAGGATACATCCTGTGGCTGTACCAGGATGCAGGGTCTGGCTGTACTGGGATTGGACTCTAGGATACATCCTGCGGCTGTACCGGGATGCAGGGTCTGGCTGTACTGGGATTGGACTCTAGGATACATCCTGCGGCTGTACCAGGATGCAGGGTCTGGCTGTACCGGGATTGGACTGTAGGATACATCCTTCGGCTGTAGCAGGATTCAGGGTCTGGCTGTACCGGGATTGGACTGTAGGATACATCCTGCAGCTGTACCAGGATGCAAGATGCAGGGTCTGGCTGTACTGGGATTGGACTGTAGGATACATCCTGCAGCTGTACCAGGATGCAATATGCAGGGTCTGGCTGTACTGGGGATGGTTGGACCAGGATTGGACTGTAGGATGCATCCTGCAGCTGTACCAGGACACAGGATCTGGGTGTACCAGGGGTGGTTGTAGCGGAATTGGATTGTAGGATACATCCTGCAGCTGTAGCAGGAGTCAGGATGCAGGGTCTGGCTGTATCAAGGATGGTTGTACCAGGATTGGACTCTAGGATACATCCTGTGGCTGTAGCAGGATGCAGGGTCTGGCTGTACCAGGATTGGACTGTAGGATACATCCTGCGGCTGTAGCAGGATGCAGGGT